ATTAAAATATATTTGTGTATTTATGTGTGTTTAATCATATTTTTTAGATCAGGATTTTCAGCTTCTAATATATTAATCTCCCGTTTCTCCCCCCTGTACTTTCCGCGTTCTCATCTATGCGTGTGCCCAGGTGCTACTCGTATGGGTGAGAAACAGTTAGTGTAGGTTTAGTTTTAAGTTTTTCCCTTATTGGCGRCTGTTATTGTGCTAGTGATTGCACGGTGTACATTGCACCTGTGTGTGCGTATTAGGTGTGTCCATTGTACATCGTTTATCGCGATAATTTTTAATTATTACATTATTTAATACTTGGAAAACTACTTGTAGAGTCATTAATGGTATGAAAAATATACCAATATATATATATATTTGTATTTTTATATTTAAATTAAATTTTTCTACTTTTTTTTTTTATAATAAAATCGTTTTGAATAGTAGAGTTACTGCATTTATTTGTGGAAACTTTGATATACTCGTACATTACTAGTATGCATATATACTAGTATGTACTAGTATTTTTGATGTAGTCATATTTGCAATAATCATTAGCCTTGGCAGTCGATTACAGCAAAATGTACGTATACCCATAAAATTAGAAAATACGCGTTTGAACTAGGGTGTCGGAGGTGCCCCGGGGCATGCTCTCTAGTTTAGGCTTTTGCACCCTGGTGGTATGTGAGAGAATCGTGGAGTGAGTGGGTGGGTATATATGTGTATTTGCTCTTTTTAAATATGGGTAATTGGCAGGCAGGTAGCATAATTTTTTGAGCGAATGTGAAAACTTTAATTTTAAGTAGGTAGGATCCAGGAAAGGCACGAGGTTTGCTTCCACTCCGGAGTGGAAATTTCGCCTCCTGGTTTATACAGAATTGTTACAAATCTATATTATTTCGTTTTATTATGCTTGCATTGTAAATTTATTTTGTGACTCTTCTGTAATCTTTATTATGTATCATGAGTCAAATGGATTTGCAACGATTTGAAAGATTCATTTCTATTTCGATTCTATCTCGAACGAGATAGAGTCGAACAAATTCGCAAATTCTTTGATGAATTTGATACTTAGTCTTAAGTATTACAAGATTAGCACTTCGCACAATCGTTATTTTATCTTTTAATTAAAAATATTTAATGTAATTCAATATAACGAATGTGAATGTGAAATGAAAATATTGCAGGAAAATGCATTACATTTATTGCATTATTTATTTCAATTCCATTTTATTACTTGTCAATATAAGTACGATGTGTTATTAGGTCATCGATAATTATCTGCTTGGACATTCGATTAATTGTGCTCGTGTCTATGTTAATGAACTCTAAATTCATTGATGGTTCACGAGCTTGAATAGTTAACGGAAAATGTAAATTAATTTTGTGATAATTGAGAATTATAGAGAATTATAACAATATAAGTTTATATGCAAAAGTAGTATGAAAGATCTTATGTTGCTCACACGTAGCAAATGTCCAATGCAGTTTTCAGGGAAGGAAGAAAGAAGAGGCTAAATGCCGAAGAGGCTAAATGCCGAAGAGGCTAAATGCCGAAGAGGCCCCCACAAATTTGTGGTATTAAGTGGGCAACTACATAGACTACTGAGTTATTTTCAATGGTTCAACAGCAAGTTCGAACCTTTGGAACATAGCTCTTTAGTCATATTTTATATTTTATTGTATTACTTTTTTGCTCGTCATTAATTTGTTGTTGTAATTGGAGATGATGGACCATTCCATCTCCTTGGCACATCAAATCTGTGTCTAAATTGTCCAAAAGGTGCAGAAGTTTTTAGTTAATTAGACTCAAAAATATTAATATTCTCTCATATTTTTAAATTTTAAAGTTTGATTAACGTTCAGTAAATATTACAGTCTTTTTTTTTTTATTGTTTCGTCTTTAAGATATTTTACTATCATTGTATTTTATTAAATTTGCAATTTTTCTTTTGTATATAACGTAGTTTAAAAGTATTTTTATTAGTAACTTATATTATAATATTCGTAATTTTCCTGTTTCTTTATTAATTATATTTTTTAATGTAAAATCACGCGTTTAAATTATATTTTATTTTACAAACGGTAAATAGAGATTGGTAAAAAATAAATAGGGAATTCAAATGAAAAGTGCATCTGTGAATTGGATCACTTATATGTTAGGCTATTTTATCACTTGATTGTATGATTAATATATTTTGCTTTTTGTTACAGGTGATCATCGTTGGATTTATCATGAAACCTTCTGGATTTCTTTTTTATTTCAGTTTCTTAAATTTTCTTATTTTAAAATATATATTTATAATGGCATTTCTGAAGGCTCACATAAAAACTAAATATGACATGTACATTAGTTGAAATTCTATAACAAATATAGCTCTATATATTTGTGAAAATGGACCCTTTTTTTTTAATTATATTTACTATAAAATTAATATAAAATACTCTAGTATAAAAGAAAAAGAAATGAATTTGTTTAAGCTTATCTTACTTTAAGGAAAAGATGGAAAACGTACCTTTCTCTGTCGAGATAAGATATAGATATCAACAACTGCAGGGACACACATTGCGTCTCTAACCATACACTAATACACTATTACAACTATAGGAATTAAAATCTATGTGATATTTCTATCCGCGTTGTTTTTCAAGCGGCTGAATATATACGCCATTTTCAATGGCATAATAAATATTCCCATGAACTATTACAAGAGTGCAAAATTTGATAAAAAATCGAAGGGGGGCCTACCTGAACATTCCCTGGTTAAACTTTTTCTTTCACCCTTTTTTTTTAACACATATACACATACATATACAAACGTTTTGTTTTGTCACTCGCATTGAGGAATTAGAAACGTCAATCGTATACTTTACCAATCGTATAATAGAAGAACCGAGACGCAGAATAAAAGCCATTGTGGTTTTTAATAGAGTTAAAATAATTTATAAACAAAAAAAAATATCGAAACAGGCGAGAAGTTCTACGACAAAGCGCCCCGAGTAGAATCGTAGAAACGTTTTGGATCGACTGATGTTCAGAATGAACGAATTGCCTTGAGAATTAACTTGTTATTATCGCTCAACTCAAAGTATATTGCGTAAAGATAAGAAAAGTCTGTGCTTTTCGGTGCTCCTAAAATAATTAATGAATATCATTAACTTTTTTCATATACATTTAGTACATCATTGATCGATTGTGTTAAGAAAAATAAACGAAATATTTTAATATTAAAATAAAAAAAGAATATTTTTGTAATTATTCAAGTAATATTGTTTAAATAATAACAATAACAATAATAATAATAATCAATATAATTAATTTTTTTTTATAAATAAGAACTCTTTATTAATTAATTTATTAAATTTAGTATTTCAATTTTTTGTCATTTGAATTTAATTTAATTTAATTTTAATTTAAAAATAAAATTGTGTTTAAATTTAGAGATTTTGATTGAGATTTAATTTATTTAAACTTTGATAAAAAGATTATTTAAAAAAAATGAAAGAAAATAATATTCTTTATGTGAAGATTTTTTGTTCGTATTGCTGATTGATTGAATCGATAATGATTTAACTATTTCATGAGCACCACTGTTTAAATCATAAATATTGATATGTTTGACCGTACATAAACTTACGTTGAACATGGCGAATACTAAACTCCCCTCTCTTCGATAGTCAGGAAATGACGCGTTTATTCTCGCCGACGTGAAATCTATTTAAGAAGACGCTCGGCGATAACGATTTTCCTTCCTTTCTTCCATTTGACGACGACGACGACGACGACGACAACGACAACGACAACGACGACGTTGAAGACGAGGCATTAGATAATGCATTTACTGATCAACTTGTTTTCTTTTCTTTCTCTTTTTTTTTTCTACAATTTTATCATTTACATGTTTTGTTGCATAGATAAAATGAATATATTTGTGTCTATCGGCTTCTTATATAATTTAATTTACAATTTTTTATCTAATTTCGAATGAATTTTATTGATTTTTTTTACAAGTAACACAAAATATTTGTAATAAAAAATTTACTAGAATTAAAAATTTTTTTTTTATTTCAATTATTTATTAGATGGTACTATTATTAGGAGAAGTTGTAATAATATCAACGTTAACACGTTCATAATAAATATGCGCGTTAATATTGTATAGATTTTTAATTAATCAATTTCATTATTTTATTACATTTCATCTCTGCCGAATAACTCACCCGTATTTTTTAACGATATGGAATGAATATAAAAAATAATTTGTTAATTATTTACCTTCATTTTTTGTTTGTTTGATTACTCGATCGAGAACACGCAGGTAATTGTATTATTTATTCTTCATTTTATTTTCTTCTTTTTTTTTTTTCTTTTTCTTGTTTCTTTTATTGACAAGATCGCAGAATTTTCAATACACATAAATAGCAGCGTTGAAATCAATTAGGACGATTATGCGATAAGATTTTGGGTTAAAAAAAAAAAAAAAAAAAAGAAACGAACGAGTAAATACAGACGTTCTTCGTTAGCAAACTTGTGTTCAAATTCATTTTCGTATGAATATATGCGAAATAGATTTAATGTTAATGCTTAGAAAAAAAAAAAAATCATTCTCGAAAAGAAAGATTTATTGTGACCTTACTTTAAAAATGATTATATTTTTTCTTTTTTCTACATCTTCTTCTGTATTGCTCGCTTTTTTTTTTTCAATAACTCTTGTTATTATATTCATTTTTCTTTTGCAAGTATAATATATTACATATTAGGCAATATTAAATAAACAAATACACGAAAATATGATTTAACAAACAATTAGAAATAAATAAATTAATATACAAATAAATAAATATAAATATTTGTAACAAGATTATTATTTAAATATTTAAGTATATATATATATATATATCTAACATAGATGAAAAATGTTTGAAATAGTTGCTAACATATCGCAAACTCGATAACATTCGAATGAATGACGAAAAAAGGAACTTTCACACCACTTTTACTTTTCTCTCTTTATTATATCAGAATGTTCATTGTCCTTTTCTGATATTTTTACGAAAAAGTATCTCGAGAATTTGAATTTTTATCACTGTTAGGCGAACGCTTAAACTGTTCGATATTATTTCGAGCATGTTTTCTCTCTCTCTTTCTTTTATAATATGCAGATATATTACATGCTTCATAGAACTTTTAATTTCAAACGACGCTAAATTTTCTCTTTCTTTTTCTTTTTCTTTTTTTTTTTAATAATAAAAGGAAACATCGACGATTTCGTTTGTGTTATGTGTTAATATTACTATTATTAGTACTATATATTATTATTATTATTATTATTATTATTATATCGTTTACTTATACATACTTGTAAAGAAAATTTGCTAATTTAAATGGCTTCATTCAATTATTTGTCTGTGTTTATTTGTTTATGTCCGCGAATTATTTGACTTTTTTTTTATCTCTTTTTTTTGTTTTAACCTTATCTATGAGTTTTTTTTTTTTTGCAATATGCACACTTGTTTTTTTATTTTTTTTTATTTATATACGTGTAGATATACATGGATCTATTTTTTTTTTATACATACGTATATACGTATAATATTCATTTATATACATACATAAGTATATATAACAGTAACAATAACGACAACAATGATCATGGTTGATTGATCGATGATTTTCAGGATTTTTATATATTATATAATATGTAGTATATATACACAGTGTTTTGTATTTAATACGGTGATAAGTGTAGCAATAGTGATGAAAATTCAGGACGCAAAATACGAGAAATCATTCGTACGAATGTTATCTGTTCAAGGTTTAATCGATTACGCAAATTATAATGTTAATATCATAACTCCATTTAGATAATAGTATTTGTAATGAAACGACACACACACACACACATGCGCGCATACGTACACATACACCCAATCGAAATATTATTTATATTATGAAATATTTTGTACTTAAATAATTCACGATTTAAGATAACATCGATTGATATTGTATCTTTGAATGTTTTTTCAATATTTTGTTTTTTAATAGAACTCACACACAGGCTCGTAAAGTTTTTTCTTTTCTTTTCCTTTGTTTTTCTTTCTTTTTTCTTCCATAGTCTTCTTATTCAAATTAATTTACGTTGGAATATTGTTTAGTTTTTTTTTATAAACACATCGATCACTTGGTCGGGAAACGTGCCTTCAAAATTGATCGAATATATCGAAGATGACATATATCGACATATGCCTACGCACGCATATACATACACACACACACACACACACACACACGTATTATAGATTATTTTCGTACGTAGAAGGAATTGGCTAGTCGATTTATTTATAATTGTGCCACCTGTTCGTTATTAGTCGGCAGATTAGACGAGTTCGGTGCTAGCGAAATTTCCGTTACACCAACTGAAGTTTGTACAGCTGCTGTTAGTGCACTTTGCAATGGCATACTTTCGCTTACTAATTCGCAGGCAGTATCTGAAACACCAAATTTCTCTGATAACATGGATTTTTTTGATTTATATTTGTCAATTAATACAATTACACACACACATATATATTTTTTTTTTTATTTTTTTTATTTATATACGTGTAGATATACATGGATCTATTTTTATATATACGTATATACGTATAATATTCATTTATATACATACATAAGTATATATAACAATAACGACAACAATGATCATGGTTATATATATATATATATATAAAAAAGGTTTGATATGTTTAATTGATTACTCCAACCGTTTAAAAGATATTCGTATACGAATCCCAATGCTTTCTGATTTCAATAATTTTTTAATAACTTTTTCAAATTTATCTATTAAACTTTTTTTGTAGAGCGTTAAATTTCCTACAAGAATCAGCGCATCTCATTCGATAATAATTATTACTCAATCAGTAACAAAATTCATAAACAAAAATGAAATTTGTCTTAAAATAATCAAACTAAAATCTTCAATATCTTTTAAATAGTGAGGTTTACGAAAAAAACATAAGATACCTTTTTTGTAGAACATTGAATTTCCTACAAAATTTGATTAAAACATTTTTTTGTATAATCAATTAATGAGGARATATGAATTTTTTTCTRTTGGACTGAGAAAAAAATAAAAAACCGCGWTGAGGAGGATCTTCCTATTGAAATTAAGAGCCCATACTGGGTGAGTACTTTCTAAAGGTGCCTAGCAACAAGTTTTTGTGTGTCAGATCCAAAAAAAAAATAAAAGTTTTTTTTTGATTCACCCTAATATATATATATATTAATATAATATTTTAGTTTTCATTTTAATTCAATTATTAAACAATATATATATTTTCCAAACTTATTCTATTATTTTTATCGAGTTGGATTATCTTATTGTTATTTATATAGATTAGAAGAAAATTGAATTTGAATGGTTCGTTATAAGTATATTTATTAATGCGCATAATGTAACTTTGATCAAGTAATTTTAATCTTACAAGATAATACTCGGACAGTATCAAATTGCCTTTCACTTATAAAGTCATTAGAATTTCTAATAAATATTCATGAAATTTCTGATAAAGAGAATGATATAAGATGGAAATCCTCTCTCTCTCTCTCTTTTTCTGTACATGTGAATATAATTATAATAATTTAATTACTATATCGCGTATTATGATTTTGATTGATATATATTTTTAAACGTACGATTTAACATCACCGACTATCGATCCAAATTATTTTTACTCCTCCGTTCTCGATATTTCATTTTTATATTCGACACACACGAGAATGATTAAAAATAAATAATTCATTGTAAGTAGCACAGGGAACTAGACTCGAGATAAGAAGATTAAAAGTGTCGCAACAAAAAAAAGAAAAGGAAAAAAGAAGTATCTAAAAATATAATTTTGGTACGTTGATTGTTATTTAAGTTTCGCGTTAAAACCCTTCAAATTATTTTATTTTTGTTAATCACCGCAAGATATTACGATAATTAATTATACATATTATTATTATTTTTTTTTTTTTAAACGAACTCAACGAGATCTTGATTCGTCCAATAGATTCATTCCTACTCGTCATCGTCGTCATCTTTCTCTTTTCAAAGAAAAATTTCCACATCGGAATTTGAAATGGAATGCATAGAATGCGATCGTAATAATATACGAGCTGACCAAGTAATACATTTAAACTTATGTGTAAATAGTACAAGAGAGACAGAGACAGAGCTATATTCTGTACAGTCTAATTAAAGAGTACCAGTTACAAAGCGTTTTGGCATACTGCCGAGTATTCTCATTATCGTTTTTCTCTCATCATAATTCGTGGCTCGTATGACTAATTTTTGTCTTCCCGTTGTCTTCGCTTTTTCAAATATACACCCATTACGTATATATATTTGTCAAAATTATTATTAATTATTTTTGTCGTAAATAAAATTAAACATCCCTCCTCCACCCCCCACCCCCCCAGCCCTGAAAATATATACGAGAATTCATATTCACGAAATATTAACCGGAAAAAAGTTTGATCGAAGTAAACGAATCGAAAAAAGGGAAAGATTGTGAACTTTGGTAAAGTTTTTGATTAAAAAGAAAAGGAAAAAAAGCGCTAGATTCGTCTCGACGGGTGGGAAGGTGGGAGAGAAAGGGAGGAGGAGGGGGGGAGAAAAACGTGTGGACTATAGCAGTACATAAAAAATAGGTCACGCTTTTATTGACAAAACCGTGCGTCGTCGTAGCGAGGCATTAAGATTATCATTTGTTCTTTTTTTACTTTTATTTTTTTTTTTTTTTTTTTTTTAACGTTTTTAACACAGCGAATACTTAGGATGTTTCGTCGTTACAAAAGTGGATTAATATTGTGAAATATATTTTAAGATATATTTGATTTTTCAAAATTGAAATTAAACGATTTTTACAATTGACTAATTTTGAAAGTGGTGTAAGTCCATTTGCAGTATGTAAATATATATTATTCCAGTAAAATTAGCCTAAAAGTAATGTATTAATAAAATCAAATTGCATATCGATAAATTATAATAGAAACATTGTCAAACTTGATATAATTAATGAATATTTTTCAATTAAACCAATATACAAAAGCTTTAATTTTCTCGGAACAATAGAAAATGGACTTACAACTATTTTCAAAATAAACGATCCATTTAAGTTCACTTATTACACGTATGTATGTATATTATTTATTTCTACACGTGTAAATTGAATTAAATAATAAAAGGAAAATTCGATATATCGTAGACAGGCCGAGAGGTATTATCGTGATGAAACAAATTTGTAGAAGGAGGAGGAAGAGGAGGAGGAGGAAGAGGAGGAGGAGGAAGTGGTGGTAGTGAAGGGTTTATAATTATCCTCGGACAGATTCACATAGGAGAGAGAGAGAGAAGAGAGAGAGAAAGAGAGAGAGAGAGAGAAAAGAGAGAGAAAAGAGAGAGAGAGAGAGAGAGAGAGAGAGAGAGAGAGAGAGAGAGAGAGAGAGCCTCAGAGTTTACTAAAATGTTGTAAACGTCGATGCACTTCGTTAAATTGAACGATCGGAATAATAAAAGGTTAAGTTCGCTGAAGATAGACGATCGATTGACCTAAAATCGTTTTTTATCGTATATTACGATCTCGAATAACGAGAAAGGATGTTGGACAGCGTCGACGCGTCTAATTCGAGATAACGAAATAGAAATAAAAGGTGGAAAATTGAATCGAATCTAATAGAAATCGAGTAATATCAAATTTAAAGTAATTTCGAACAACGAATCGAATAAAATGAAATGAAATGAAATGAAATGCAAAACTAACATATCGTTTACGTTCAATCAAAATTAACCGATAACATTTGTAATATTTTGATAAAGACCAGAAGTGCATATAATAATATATTAAATTATTATTATATATCTTTAATATAAAGATAAGAAGAATGCATATAATTAATGCAAATTTTATTTTTAAATATCGATAATGAAAGCATCTTATTATAATATAACGTGTTGTACGAGAATTTACTTTATACGAAGACAATAGTAGCAATATTTTGAATATTTGACAATATAAACATTTGTACGATTATTTAAAAGTTATACGGGAATCTACTGTAAATTGAACAAAATGACTTTTTTTCATGAAAAAAAAAAAAACAAGATAGAAAAGTAAATGAATGATATTTGATTGAACATAGACGATACATATAATAAGTTCATAGATACTCACATTTCGTAACCGACGAGGTACCGGCACTGCTACCTTGTTTCTTCAAAGTGTTGCTCTTGATGCAAATCTTTCCACGTATATTTTTATCCGGTTGGAAGACAATTATATAAACTTTCGGAGCGTAAAGACATACGAGAGTAACAGACGCGCTTAAACTTATCGCAACGCATAGAGTTGTGATTTGTGTTTCGTGTGCGTTTCCAGTTCCAAAATAAATCGGTACAAAACCGAGCCAGATAATGCAGGTGGTGTACATCGTGAAACCGATGAATTTACTTTCGTTAAAGTTTTCCGGTATTTTGCGGGTTTTAACGGCATAGACGGTAGAAACGAGAATCAATATTGCATTGTAAAGTTGAGAGAATAGAAAGCTCATGTCTTGTATGTTGCACTTCAATATGACTTGTTTGCGATCGGGATAATAATATCGAGTACCCGGTGGTTCGACGACCATCCAGATAAGAGTAAGGACGATCTGAAAGGCTATCAAGGCTGCCGCTATGCAAACTTGCGAGGTTGGGCTGATGTAACGTGGTCTTACGGCCGATCTCGATGCTGCATCGAATATCCTGGCTATTCGATTGGTCTTTGTTAAAAGTGCACCGTAAACCGCGCTAAAACTCACCCCGACACCGAACCTTTGTAATACACAGGTAACCGTGGTCGGCCTTACCAACAATAAAAACGTATTCAAATAACAGACCAAAACACCGGCCAAAAGTACCACGGTCAATTCTCGTCCCGATGCTCGAACCACTGGAGTGTCCCTGTGTTGAAACAGAAGACAAGCCACTGCTAAGGTCGCTGCTATACCCAGACACGAGATCACTGCCGGTGCTATCGCGAAAGCGCTACTCCACTTGATATGCTTCACCGGTAAATTATAGCAACCCCTTTTATCCGCGTGAGGCCACGACCCTGGCCCGCAATCCATGCAGGTGTACTCGTTGTATACAAACTCGTACTCTTCACACTGATCGCACACCCAGCAACAAGTGTCACCCTGTTGCTTCTTTATCATACCTGGCTCGCAGGGTAAAGAACATGCTGAAATTGGTATATCTTTCGTTCCTCGTGCCCAAACCAATTCGTCCGTCTGTATGTCCAACGAGTTGTACCATTTTCCAACCACCTGAAATCTTTTTTATTTTTATTTATTCCATCTCCCTCTCTCTCTCTCTCTCTCTCTCTCTCTCTCTCTCTTTTGATATATGGAATTTATATTATAATAAACCGGATATATTCAATGGAAATTCAATAATGTTAAACACTTAGGTTATTTATTTTCTTTCTTTCTTTCTTTTCAAATAGAAAAATGTTAATTCGCGATTTTACGTTTTATCGGAAATTTATATCCTCTCAGGAAAATGTATTGTATTATTTGAATAAAAAGTAAAATAAGAGAGAAAGAGAGAAAAATAGTCAACGGATACAATGTAAATATTAAAACAAAACCCTTGTACACATATCCGTATATCAAATTATAATAGAAAAAGTTTATTCTATAAAATATGGAAATAAAAAAGCGTTCTCTTTTTTTCTGCTTTTTTTTTTTTCTCTTCGCTATTACGTTCTATTAAAACAAACTCGATTGTTCCTTGGAATATTGCTCGAGGGGTAGCTAACAAACTATAGTAGCTAACTCTGGGGTGCTAGGTGGTAGTTTGTTGTATTTTCTGTTTGGAAGGGAAAGGATGGCTTTATTGGAAATAAAGAAGATATTCTATCTCGTAATTAACTTTCTACAGTGGCTCGAATAAATATCGTCACTGTTGGTACGACGACGCTTTTGTTGAAATATTTGTTTCAACAGTAACCGGGAATGTAATCGTAAATTAATTGATGCTAATCCGATAAAATAGTTGCCAACAGAATGAAACTATAGCAATAGCTTTTATTAAACATAACAAGAATTCGTATTTTGTTAAACGGAAATGGTAAGAGAACAAAATTGAGATTAGATTTAATCAAATGATTCTTCATCGAAACACGAATACGTTAACTTTTCGATATATTTATGATTAATCTATATCTATATAAATGATAATTTTTTTTTCATAAAAAAAATAAAGAAGAAAGAGAAACAATTCCTTGAAAGTTTCAAACGGAAACAATAAGAGAAAGAGAGAGAGAGAGAGAGAGATGGATGATAGCTTTCGTGTCGGTTCGAATGCAAACTTTTACAAAAGTAATTCGAAGAAAGGGAATTAAACGTAGGATCTACGAACGGCACTTCTCATTCCTCGGGAATTTTCACGAATGTTAATTAATTGTAAAGGGAATAAAGGAAGGAACGAACGAAGTTCAACTATAGGAGAAAAACTTTTTTAATTTCTTTTGTTTTTTTTTTCTTTCTTTTTTTTCTTAGAATTTGTTTACTTGCCCGATAGTGATAGCCGTCGTTACCGCTGAGATTCGATTTTCGAAAATTCAGGATCTCGTATCTTGCCAAGCCGTCACCGTGTTCGTCGAATTTCACCTCGCTGCCAGCTGAATCTAGAAAATAACTGAAAATCTGAATACCCTCGAGGCTGGTTGGCTCATGAAATGGCAAGTAATATCGCCAAGTTACACTCCGTGAAGCTGCAACGAATGGGTTTTGAAAGTATATCGGTTGAGAGACGGCTTGTGAAAAGCGGTTATCCTTTTGCGAGTACCTGAAGGCAGCATAGAGATAACTCTCTTTATCACCGTGAAAATTTATTTCAGAATACCTTGAAATTTAGTCATTTCAGTGGAATAATCCATTGCCCACTGTGTTGTTTGTTTCTCCAAATTCAATTGAAATACTTTCCCCTTTATTAGAATCGAATTAATCTAATTGTCAATTTTTCCGGAATGTAAATTAATCACAATCATCTAATTTTTGGAAATTTCAACCTAATGCGTTTAAATTATTACAAACTATTTCGATTACATTATCATACATATTATTTTCTTTTCAAACTTCGCAAACTTTTTGTTACGTTCATTTTTTTCCCCAATATTATTTTTCGATCAGATTATTATTTAAAAAATTTAATCAGAATCGATATTTACTTTAATTATTATGTAATTTTACTAACAGTCGTGTTGAGGTCACCGGTGACCTAGACGGTAATGAATGCGTGTTAATATTCAAATATCTTTTTTTTTTTCAGTTATCATTCATTGAATTATTTTTATTTATTTATTAATTCGTATTTAATATCGCCAGTTAAAAGCGTACAAATATTTTCCAATTTTTTATATTTTTTAATATACGAATATATTTTTTATTCGAACAGTTTGTAATTAGAATTAAATCTATTTTTTTTTTGTTGATCATTCAACTTACAAAAATTAGTTAACGCATATCAGTAGGAATGAATGGATGATTAATCACACGTGAGACAAATGTTCATAAACTGTGAACGTTTAATCATTATTGAGACCTTCAAACGTTTGTTAAGTCGATGACTTTATTGATTCGTAGTATATTTTTTTTTTTGTATAATCAAAGAATGTCCTATATCACTAAACGAATCTAATGCACGTGCAGTGATCTTTGATATTAATCGTAAATGGTAATTGGTAATAAACGCATGATGCACTTGATATCATTAAAGTAATGCGTTCTTTTTTCACGTCATTTTCTTGTCACTTAAAGAAAAAAGATAATAAAAAAAAAAAAGGAGGGAAGAGAGGAAAGAAGGAAAGAACGAACAAAAGAAATAAAATTTCATTTATACCATCCATTAAGAATATTATGACCTGGAAACCTTATCAATTTCGTAGAACTCAGTTTTTTTAATATCTATAGAAAAAGAATGATATTGCGTAAAATGTATATGATTCATAATATCGATCAATATTTTCTCTCGAAACAATGAAAATAAGAATACAATTATAAACGTATAACTGTGCGTTTTTTTCTTTTTTTTTAAAATACACGATTTTATTAAATAATATTCATAGAAAATGATAAAATCAAACACGCGTTACTAAACTCGTTTACGATGTTGAGATTAACAAAAAAAAAAGAATAAAGAAATTGTATGTTTCAGAAAAAAAAAGACAAAAAAAACACACACACACAGAAGATAGATCAGAAACCTGATCGTAGTCTTCTTGGATGGTTCATAAAGTATTCCTTTATATCCGAAAATATCGTGGAGATAGATCTTCTCGTTCGGTGACCTAAATAGACGGACATCGCGTAACGCAATTTCCTCGTTCTATTGTATTACTCGTGAAGCTAATATAATAGAGTGAGCAAGTCACGCTATGGGAGTCAAAGTAAATCGTCGCTTACTAATTAATCGGTGTGAAATGATTGGCTGAATTGCGTGTACGTACTTAGGTCTATATATACTGGGTGTTACAAAATATCGGCCATGATAACTTGAATGTTGCTTTGAGTACGTTAAAATAAGCGTTCTATTCTATCTAGATCTAAAATAATCGAATATTAAAAAAGAGCAAAAGATTTAATGGTTCATTCCCTCTTTTTGTGACAATTGTATCATACTTAAGGGGTTACATGGGTTTGGGACTTTCAAAAAAATTTTTTTTTTAAATTCTACAACTCATCTAGAATATTGTATTGAATTTTGAAGTCGATAGGAGTAGTAGTTTTAAAGATAGAGCCTTGGGAAGTTGCACTCTTTAATGGTTCTTATACCAGCACTCAAATTTTTAAACGCGTTTTTCTCAAAACGCTTTTTCTAAAGTCGGTTGTCAAGATTTCTCGAAAACTATTTAACCGATTTTCGTGAAATTTGCTACACGTCTTCGTGATACTATTGACAAGGACTTGAACGAAGGATTTTTGTTTATTTTTCATAAAATCGAATTTTAAGAAACCAAAATGTGGTGCAAATTGTAGCGAAATTTGAATGTTCTTGCTACAAACGTTGCCAAAAATCCAAATTTTAATTTGTTTCTTTTTCCTTCGTCCAGTTTCTAGTTTTAAGTATTCACTAAAAGACCCTATTTTTTCAACAGAAAAACCACCACCGTTTATAAGTTCTGCTGTCAACGCGAAAACACTTTTTTTCGGTGGGGTCACCGGAAATGACGTCGCAATGGCTGAGTTTAAAATATTTTTTAACCAAAAATTCAGAAAATGTTCTTTAAATATGTATCTTAAATACTATAAAAAGTTTGAATAAGAATTCCATTTTTTATATAGAAAAAAAAATTGTTGAAAATATGCTATTTTTTCCCGGTGTAAACCCATGTAACCCCTTAAATAGAAATAAATATACCCTACAAACATTAAGAAAATCCATTTATGCGAAGGAGATAATATTACTGCTATTGAAGTTTAAATAATAATAGGAATTTTTATGCAAAGCTATCGAGTCGGGAAAGAGAGAAAAGATAGGAAAAAGGGGGGGGGGAGAAAGAGATCAAAGAAAAGTGATTCCGCGGAAAAGGATCGTATTCCCTTTATCACCGAAAGTACCTGCACCGAGACGTGACCTTAATATTTGACTCGACGTGTTCTAGGTTTTGACGATAGCCTAAAAACGCAGCTCGGCGAGGAATAAACGCGGGAGCCATTATCTCTTGCGCATTTCGTGCGATATCGTCGCGTGTATATACGTAAGTGACACGAATCGATAGTTGGTATGTATATCTGCCCACGGATGAGTCCGATCCAATTCGAGATATTCCGTTTAATAATATATGTATATGTATATACCTATATATAATCTTCTTCCGAACCCGCGCATTAAATCAACTAATAAATTATCGAAAAATCACCTAAACCTTGCCAACAATCTCATTTTCTTGTACTGTAAACTATTCCAAGTTTCTTCTATTTTTTTTTTACTGATCATTTCAATCGGATATATTCAAAATTCTATAAATATTAATACTACCCTTTAATTATATAAAAAAAGAGAGAAAAAAGAAAAAGAAAGAAAATGTTCGTTCTTGCGTTAGGCTCCAAATTGGTCAACCAACCCCTTTCACGTGTATTATTGAAAAAAAACAAAAAAATCGACTCGAGAGAAAAATAAAATCCTACGCATATTGATTGTCATAATATCGCGGATAAAATATCTAATTGTTGTTTTCTTCGATCTACTTTTTGTTTTTTTCTTCTTCTTTTTTCACTAAATATTCCAAGCGATTACCGAATTCAATATTGATAAATCCAATTTCCCCCATTAAGCCCAACCACCTATGTATATCTGAGCGTAAAAAAAAAAAAAAGAAAAATATTCGTGTCGTGAATATTTCAATGCGTCGTCGTGACTATCCATCAAAAGTTTTGACCTCGATTAAAATGTTCCTTCTTTGTTTTTTTCTTTTTTTTTTTCAAAATCCAACTTAGTCCTTAACCATACGCCTTTATACCTTAACGATATATCCAACATAAATTCCATTCCTTATGGGGACGATTTCCATTCGCAGATAACTATGTATTTCCTTTTTAACGAGTACTACGTCCAAGGATACGTGATGATCGATTAGTATTGCGGAACGAACGTTTGTTTCTTTTTTTAAAACACGCGATCGATCGATCCATCTTACGAAGCAAGTGTTACCAGTAATTTTGTCGACAAATATCTATCCGTTGTTATATCGAATAAATTATTACAGTCATTTGTTATTATTATTATTATCATGTTGTAAATTGCGCAAATTCAATTTAACCCTCTATGTTAAATAGATATAAAATCAAATAATAATAATAATAATAATATAAAAATATTGAGCTTACCTACGAAGGAAACGTTCAAAAGGTAATCCCTGTAGAATGCACCGCGATCGTAATTGGTCATCGCTGGACATAATCCTTGATTCTCACCGCAAAGATCACGTTGAAGATTGTGAAGGGCAATTCCAAACGCGTAAACGGCATCAACGACGAATTGCACTTTAGATTCTTGTTCGTATCCCCTGCTAGTTGTCAATCTAAGTTCGGGATTGCAAATTTTTCTAAAACCATTGGTCGGTGGTATCGTAGTATGGACAATTGGATTTTGCGTTTTGGTGTTTTCATTTAAAACGCAACCGAAAACTTCTTCCCAATACTCGTTGAACCATGGATTCCTGTAATTGTTTTCCGGCGTCAAGGACGCCATGTACTCGTCGAATTCTGGAATATTTTTCGATTGGAGTTCGACCGTAATAGCACCTTCCGCCTCGTCTTCCAATCCTTCGACCAATTTCAATTGTCTGCCCCAACCATCGCTGGCCAACCATTGAAACGGTTGACTTAAATTCGATCTTCTCGTTGCTTCGAGAATTCCTCGGGCGTCTTCGGCACGGGTGAAAAGTACGACAGCTCTCGCGTTAGATTTTTTGATTAATCTTTGAATAATATCGTCGAATATTTGATCGTTAGCTGCGCTTGGTACTTTAACTGCAGCCGCTATGCAAACGTTTCTTTCAATCGCTTCGCGAGTGAACACTTCGATCCCATGTTCCCCATAACTACCCTCAGAATAAACGGTCGACACGTAAGACCAGTTAGCGCTTTTCACGACATCGACCAATGCGATCGATTGGAATGTATCCGGTGGTACTGTCCTTGCAAAGTAATCAAACCTGTACAAATGTAAGACAATTATGTATTATGTATATATATATATATATTCCATTTCTTTTCTAAAAAAAAAGATGAACAAAAAGGAAGAGTAAAAGAAGAAGATAAAAATAAAAATACTAAAGCCCCTTTCCCGAGAGAATAGAAATAAAATATATCATCTTAATGATCAGCACGTGTTGTGAAGTATATTGACGATCCACACGCAATTCTGTTCGATGTCTCGAGGGTCGACATCGAAGTATCTCCGAAGAAATAGAGAAAAAGAGAAAAGCAAGGTGGGGGGTGGTTCTAAGGTCCATGATCGAACCCTTGGGACAAATTGGGTTACACAGGATACGGATAGAACCTAGTAGATATATTCCTATCAATCGATATATACCATCACCATCAACGACGACGACGACGATACTCTCGCTTTCCAAGAAAAAAGAAAAAAAAAGGAAAAAAAATGGGGGAGTCTCGTTTGTAAGAACGCAAGTTAGCAAGCAATTTCGTGATTCTAACAGGGATGAAGAGACCTTTCCTGGATATAATATCTCTCTCTCTTTCTATATTTTCCCTTTTTTTTCCTTCGTCAGGAGTAACGACATTAGAAACGTTTTCTTTTTTTTTTTTCCTTTTCTTTTCTTTTCTTTCTTTCTTTCTTTTTGCTGACGAGGTCGCTTATTAGACTTGAAAATGTCTCCTTTATTCTATCATATTTTATGAATCGCAAAAATGATTACTTTAAGTATATTATAAAAAAGAAAGTAATAATAATAATAATAGTGATAAATTAGATGGAATAAATGATAAGATAAATGATAAAAGTGTATTAGAATAAAAGTAAATTAAAAGGGATAAAAGAAATGATGATCTAAATGAGGTGCGAAATCTTCATTTTTTTTTTTTACACATAGACATAGAGAAACATACACATAGGATACACGTGAATTCATTTTCGTTGGACTATTGTAAATGTTGGTTGGGGTTTAATGAAAATATTCTTTCTTTTCTTTCTTATACTGCTTAAAGTAGTATTTAATATTACTATAATAGTAACGTATATATATAAATATTCGTTTGGAGACAAAAACCGGTTGGAGTACAAATGGAAAAGTTGGGAATAAAGCTTTTCCAAGGAATAACTAATGAAACCGAAAGCAATATGAACCTTACAAAAGCACCCCATTCTTTCCTAAGCTTTCCTTACCAATGAAAATGACAACAAAATAATATGTTCCAATTGGGTACAAAGCATAAAAGTAAAAAAGAGGATAACCGAACTGCGATATGCAGTTATTGTTACTTCTATTGTTCATTAGCCCATACAAAAATACAATCCTGTCATTTAAATGTAAAAGCAAAATCGAAGAAAATTGATGAAAATGTTGGATACAAATTTTGATTAGATATTTATCACGATCAAATGAGTTTTCAAACTTAAAACTTGAACGAAACATTAAAATGCAAGTTCTTTGATTTATTACGTAGCTTTCTTTCTGACCCTTTGCCAAGATCTTTTCAAAGGATACTACCTCGACGTTAACACGAGTTCTTCTCTCAGAAGAAACTTCGTGTGAACGCTTGACGCTTTACGCAAACCTTGAAGAAAGTAATTTTAGTTATGCAATAGTAATAGTAGCTCTCTCTCTCTCTCGCTCCTTCTATTTGAAATTGCCAACGAAACAACGTAACTGTTCGTAATTAGTTGGAGAGTTTATATCGATTTTTATTTTTTACTTTTTTTTTATTTCTTTTTTTTCCCATTTCTAAAAATGACCACAGGAAATTCGTCGTTATATTATTCCGAAAATAGAAAAATGAAAATTGTATAATTTTAAGATTACTTTAAAATATTTTTAAACTATCGTTTCCAATATACATATACGTAATTAGTATTAAAATCTATAGGTTGGTTTGCGTTCATCCATTTTCCCCTGTCCCAACGAAACGATTTCAAATGAATTTGTCTCAACAGAGTCGGATGTTGATGATGAATAAGAAAAAAGACAAATTTCTGTTCCTCGTAGAAAGCATTTGATCAGTAATAATTAATCATTTGAACAGGCACACATTAATAATAATCTGTAATCGTAATATTAACCCCATGTAGTATATTATAGAACACGAGACTCGTGATATGTTACGTGGATTCAAGTAACACGAGTCTCGTTATTACGTGATTTATTTCTAGGTCAACAAAATAATTTTATTTTCCCTTGGATACAAATTACTATTAACAACAATATAATTTAAAGGTCTCGAAAAATGAACACTTTTCATGTTACCAATTTGATGATATTGAAAATATTATAGTACCGTTACCGTATACATGTGAGCAACTTTGTCACGCACTCTCGTGATTTTAAAACATAGTGCAAATAGGGTTGAAGTGTATATACAAAATGAAAATAATACATATATATATATATATAAGGAAATAAAATGAAACAAACCTTGTTTTGTCGCTAAGAGCTTTGGCCGTGGATGCCGGTGATATTTGCGGTATGTGAAATAGGCGCAACAGATTGGCTACCTGAAGTGACACGGAACTGTACGATCCACCGATGACACCAAAGATCGGACCAGCACTTGCAGTTTTCTTAACTCTCGGTGTTGATTTGTCAGCACACTCTAACACGCTTATATCCAAATTTGAAAGTGATGCGCGAACGAAGTGTAGACTCTGATTGAGAGCATAGGTGTCCCTTCCACAAGTGTCCAGGATGTGTACACCCAACATGATGTCCGGCAATATCCTGCTCTCCCTGTTGATTTGATCGACCGCAAAAAGCATTGCCTCGAGCCTTTGGACCCCGCGATTGTAGACGTTAGGTCCGCACGCGGAACTACCTTTCTCGTGAACGGGAAATAATCCACCTAGGACGATATCGCCCGGTATCAAAACGGATTCCCTTTCGCTGTGTAGTCGAGAATCACTGATGGATGTTAACTGTTGAAGCGTCATCAGCAGGATCACAGTGCTTAACAAGGAACGTCTCATTTTGATCAGGAAAATCAAAGCTAACGTTAAGCTTTAATTTCTTTTTTTTTTTTTTCTCTCTCTTCCTACTCCCATACAGATCGCATCTTTTTTATTCTCTCTTTCTCTCTGTGCTTTTTTTTCTTTTGCGTGTGCGCGTGCGTATACGTGTATGTGTGTGCATCAATTAGTCCTTTCTTTCGAATCGATTCTTTTTTTTTTTCTATATTCCTTGATTTTCTTTTAATAATTTAATTTTCTTATCTTTCTCGTTAAACGGGGTTCTTTATCGTTGCTTTCAACTTTTTTAGGCTTTTCGTATGTTTTACATACTCTTTTTTTCTTTTTTTTTCTTCTTCCTTTCTGATCGAATAAAATAATCAACTAAGGTTTTCGTGACTTCAAAGACACTTGACGTTTACAAATATATATATATGTATATATTCTTTTCGTTTTGAAACGAAGTTTATATTCGCGTATTATTCCATAAATATTTTCTTATTCGTTTGCAAACCTTCAAACGTTTTTTTGTATCCTTTTTTTTTTACAGAAAAAGATTACAATTTAATGACGAACCTTCCACTTCTTTTTCATAATATAAATAAATGAATACAAATTGTGTTATATTAAATATCGATGATGATGATGATGATGATGATGATGATAGATCGAGATCGAGATCGGTAAACAGGTTATTTCGGAAGCTTCGAATACGATCTATCCTGTGAGGCCTATTTAGGTCGTGGATGCATTAGCTATTTCCAAGTTTCCAATCAAAGCCCGGAAGTTGTCTGCAAAATTATTCATCCAAAAGCCGGATATGCGGTGCCGATACGTTCAACGAGTAGAACGAAGAACGGAGAAGAGAGAAAACGTTATTACCTTGCCGAACATTTCTCTTCGAAGCATCAATTTCGCGAAACAGAATTGGTTTATGTACCCCCCCCCCAATCTCATCATATAATATTCATGTTTAATTGATAAAATCTATTTACCAAATTTCTTCGATTTGAAATCCCGAAGAATAATCTTGATTCTTATGCAAACTATTTAACCCCCCCGTTTAAAACTAACCGAATAAATTTTCTGTACAATTTACTTTTCCGTTTTTTTAATGATACAAAAATGAACAATACGATATAAGTATAATTTGTTGTCATTTCTTCTATTTCATTGAAGAAAATGTCGACTTAATAATGCATTTGAGATCTTTCCTTTAGGATCCTCGTATACTTCGTACGAAACCGGACGTCTAATTTGCAAGCAACCTCGGCATTTCCGTCGTCACCGGAACTTTGTCTTTTTCTTCTTCTTTCTTCTTTCTTAAGGAAGAATCGAAAGAAAAGAACCCTCTGTCTCTTTCTTTCCTTTACTTCGCGAAACCCTCCTAGTAGTTTTCAACGGAATCAAATCTTTTTTTTTCGGAGAAGAGCGTCGAACTTTTTATCCAAAGTCAGGTCTCAGCTCCCCGCCCCACCCCATCCCACCCCACCTCGTCTATATCGTACGGTTCCTTTACGATTCTTCAAGAAAATGTGTTTCTCTTGAGTTTAGTTTCCTTTCAAACTTTTCTTTTCCTTTTTCTCTTTTTCTTTTTTTTCTTTCCTTTTTTCTACCTCTTTATATACAACATACATAAATAGTACCTAAATATATATACGTCTACGTACGTGTGTGTATACGTGTATATATATATATATATATCGATGAAAAAGTGTTGCTTTCTCGGGTAACACCGACCCGTTTTCTTTGACGCAAAACTCGTAACAGCGAAGTGGCGTTCTCTTCTTTGCTTCACTTCCTCTATTACTCTTTCACTATCTCCTATCTATCCCTTTCTTTTGCCCCCCTTTTTTCCCCCCTTTTTACCCCCAACTTTTTTATCTTCCACACCTCTCTCTCTCTCTCCTCCACCACGCTGCAATGGATTCGGATTTCCACGATACGCTTTCAGCACTTCCTATTTTAGCGTACTTTCCTCCACCTTCGAATCCTCCTGCCCCCACGGATTCCACCTCGTCCTCCCCCCCTCGCGTACCCCCTCATCGCACAAATTTCACTTTTAACTCCGAACCCTAATCTATTCTCGTTTCAACGAGGAAATACCAACATCGAAAAAGCCTCTTTCTACCCCTTACCCCTTTCCTCCTCCCCCTTCTCCTAGTACCCACTCCCACCTCCTTAATGTAATCCTCGGTCACTGCAAAATTCTTTTTCAACTTCGTCTTTCACTCTTTTTCTATTTTGATCTTTTTATTTTTCTTTTTTCTCTCTTTGCTTTATTCGTTTTCTTTCTTCCCTTTTCCTATTTCTATTTTTCTAGTTATCACACGACCCCTTGAAAACGGGCGACACTTTACTAAATGAGTTCTAATTCGTGTCACGCTAGCTGGGATCCTTCAAAACTTGGATTTGACTCGTTTAACATACTACTCGAGCCCACTACTCTTCGTACTGCTCAGCTCGTAAATCTTCAAAACGAAATACAAGCTACGCGATTTAGTACCAGGTTATATAGTTGACATTTTTTCTCAGAGTAAGTAGTACTGGTTGTGCTTCTGTTCTACGAAAATGTTCCCCTTTCTACCATTTTTTTTTTGTTCTCTCTCTCTTTTTCTTTTTTCTTCTTCTTCTTTTTCTTCTATGGTTGATGAAAGAATTAATATTCGCTCCAACGATTATTATTCGACTAGGAAGAAAGTTTTTTCTAATTGCAGCAACGATTTCTCTACGACGATATAATATTAAATAATAATAATAATAATAATAATAATAATTTGTTGCTATTGAAATAAGTTATTAAATGTTTTCGAATAAATTTCGAACAAATCGATCCTCGTATCCTTGATCGAAGGTAAACTCGTAGGAGAATAAAGAGAAGTGTCCCAGAATGGGTTCGGTGATGCGAGAACGAGACAAGACAACTAGGATCGATAACCGTTGATCCGTTTCCTCTACGATGCTCGCAAATCGATGTTATCCTGTCGAGATATTTCTTCCTTGGTCTCGTTCTCATCCTTCGTATTTCCGGTTAGTCCTTAAAACCAATAGAAGTACGTCCACCCTCCCCCCTCCCACAAGTGTAACACAAATTTTTCTCTTTTTATTATTTTATTTTAACTTATTTTTATTCTTATCGTGTTGTTTTCTTTTCTGGTTGAGACAGAAAAATGTCGTCAATTAAATATATATATATCGAATAACGTATGCGTGTATAATAATAAATGATCCGTGTCGCGTCTACATATTTTCGTCTCTACCCTTTTTTCTGTGTTTTTTTCTATTTATTTCTGTCTATTTTTTCTCTCTCCTCTTCTCTCTCTCTCTTTTACACACACATACACACACAACACACTTCTAACGTATCCTTGGTCCAATCACGAGAGATAAATGTCGAGTATCAAGTGTCCTGACACACATTCTTCTTAAACGTTGATGATATTTCTTCTTTCTCTTTATTTTCGTTTTTCTTTTTTTTCTATCTTGCTCTATTTTTCTTTTTTGGGTGTTTTTTTTTTCTATTCTTTTCTCTCTCTCTCTCTCTGTTTTTCTCTGTGTGTGTTATCTGTGAAGAAGGATCTGTGTTTCAACAAAAACAAATCAATCAATATCTCTTCACGATGCTTCTTGACCTCCTCCTCCTCCTCCCCCTCCTCCTCCTCCTACTGTTCGTGGTGGTGGTCCACTAGCAACTTGTTATTTTCTCACGCAAGGTGAAAAAAATTCTTTCAAATCTTCTCCCTCTCTCTCTCTCTTTCTCTTTTTCCCTTCTTCTTCTTCTTGTACTTCTATCTTCTTCTTCCTACTCTTTCTATTCTAAGAAAGAGGAAGAAGAGAAATGGGAGAGAACGATGAGAAAATGAGAGAAAAAGAGAACGAAACTTTTTATTTTTTTTTTTTTTTTCTCTCTCTTTCCCCGAAGGATAAAAGTCTCACGTCCGTATCAGCGGCCGTTCTTCAATCCGCTAAATTACCAGCTAAAGATTTAACCTCGAGAATCTTGATTCTCCTAACTGCGATTTTTTATTCCGAACAAAAGTAAGAAACAGAGAGAGAGAGAGAGAAAGAGAAAGAGATAAACAAGAGAGAAAAGAGAAGGCAACAAATAATTTTTATTATAATAAAATATAATTAAAAAAAATTAGATAAAATTATTATAGTAATATAATATATAATTTCTTACATATATATACATATTTTAATTGAGAATTAATAATATATAAATTAATTATATAATAATAAGAATTAAATATAAATTATATAAATATAAAAAGAAAATAATTAACCTGACACAACCAATGTGTTCATTAATAACTTATGAACAAACGCACAAACGCGTTTATCAACTTCGAAATTATCTAGAAACACCAACTTCGAGATACCCTATTTATTTATATTTCCATACGTTTATATTAAGAAGGTGAGAAAATATCGCGTTGCAAGGCGTGATGAGAGTGAATAAAAGTTCGAAGGTCGTTCTGGAAAAAGGAACGAGACCAAAAGAGAAAGAAAGAAAAAAAGAAAGAAAGAAGGAGGGTGCTGGTGATAGACACACAAACACAAATTTGAAAACCTAGCACGTTACACTGTGAGATCCTCTCTCTCTCTCTCTCTCTCTCTCTCCCTCTCCCTCTCTCTCTCTCTCTCTCTCTCTCTCTCTCCCTCTCCCTCTCACTTTCTCTTTACCAAGCTACTCTTAAGTTTCTTTTCTAGGAAACACCGTTTAACATCAACCCTCGATTTTCTTTTGCTGCAACCTCGCACCCTCTCTCTTTTTCTTGCAAGGGTGGACGTTCAAAGACTCGGCCACGAAAATCGCTGACTGACCTAAATAACGCGTTTCCTTTTCATCCATACCTCTCTCTCTCTCTCACACACACACACACACACACACACACACATATACACTCTTTCTCTATTTTTCTTCTCTTTCAATCGTACATGTCAAAGGTGTATAATAATAATATCTGTTACCTCTAAACTAATCATTAAACACGCACGAAAGAAATCACATACGTTCAATGAAAAATTCAATGAAAAATGTATCGTCGAACTAACACACCGCACGCATGCACGCATGCACTTACGCACGCATACAGATATTCGAAGTTAACCGTGATTTACTTTACATTCTTTCCCTCCCTCCCTCCCTCCCTCCCTCTCTCTCTCTCTCTCTCTCTCTCTCTCTCTCTCTTTCTTTCTTTTTCTATCCCTTTCTTTCTCTCTTTCTCTACGTGTTTATCTATCTATATCTATCTATCTATTTTACTCCAAAAAATGAAAGTCGAAATAACGAGCCTCCGACGATAGCACGTTGGAATATGATACGTATCGAATCGATAATCTCGACGATGCTTGCGCGAGGAGATGACTCGATGCTCGGAAAAACAAGTTACTCTCTCTCACTCTCTTTATATATATATATATATATATATATATATATATCTTTATATCTAGCTTGCTTGCTTGCTTGCTCTCTCTCTCTCTCTCTCTCTCTCTCTCTCTGTCTCTCCCTTTTTCTCTCCTTCCCCGTGTTGTGTGTTTACCAAGCAAACCGTCGCGAAAGAAAATTGCGCGATTGCCGTGCAACTGCAGCTGCTGCCTCAGCGAAGAAGATCATCATCATCCCTCTTTTCTTCTCATCCCTTTCTCGTAGGCGTTGTGGACTCGCGAATGATAATCGTCGAGAGATGTAATCGTAAATCGCGAATTAAATAAAAATCGACTTTTCAAATGACGACAGTCAGAGTGAGAGACAAACAAACAATTAAAAAATTAAACAAACGTTAATATCTTCTCCCGATAGGGTGTCGCGTTAATTATTATTATTATTATTAATATTATTATTAATATCCTCCCTCCCTCTTCCACTCTCTCTCTCTCTCTTTCTCTCTCTCTCTCTGTTTTTCTCTCTTCCTTAAATTTCGTTGAGTTTATCAGTCCTGGTCTCCTCCTAAACGGCGACAGTAGAGAACAGGGTGGTAGTTCGGTGAGGCTCATCGAGGTGCGTCCATCGTGAAGTTTCATCCCCCGTTATTTCGACGAGCCGTCGTCCTCGAAAATTGTCGACAGGACGAACCAAAGGATCCTCCTTCTCCTTGTTTGGAAACATCGCCGTTCGGGGAAAAATCTGCGGACAAGTCAACGACGATCTCCAAGTTGCCGCCACAGCACGACTGGCCGGCCGGCCTTTCCTACCCTCTTGCCCCTTTTACATCCCCCACTACTTTCCCTACCCTATCACCCACCCTCTCTCTCTCTCTCTCTCTCTCTCTCGCGCACTCTTTGGTTCGTCCTATATCGCAATACCAAGCTCACTCTCGCGCCACTGTTTCGCGCTTCTATCTATCCCCACCCCATTCTCTGGAGCTACTCTCTACGCCCTCCCCCACTTCCACCCCTGCTCCCCCCTGCTCCCCCCCTATTCCCACCATCACTAGTATAGCATCACTTCCAAGAACCAGTGCCACCCCCCACCCTATATACGTATATGTAGCTTGCACATTCTCACGAACGATAGGTTAAACGCCGTGACGTGCCTCTCACCGTCGAAGAAGAACCCTTCCTTCCCTCCCTCTTCCCTCCCTCTCCCCCCCCCCCCCC